AGTAAAATAAAAACACAATAATCCAAAATCTATGGGGCAGAGCAAAGCAGACCTAAGAGGGAAATTCATAGCAATTACAGGCATACTTGAGAAAATAAGAAAAATGTCAAATAAATAATTTAACTTTACACCTAAATGAACTAGCAAAGAACAACAAGCATAGCCTAAAATGAGTAGAAGGAAGGAAATAATAAAAAATAGAGTGGGGAAAAAAAAATAGACTCTTAAAAAATACAAAAAAAAATCAATGAAATCAATAACTCATTGTTTGAAAAGATAAACAAAATTGATAAACCTTTAAACAGACTCATCAAGAAAAAAAAAAAGAGAGGAGCCAAATAAATAAAATCAGGAATAAAAGATTAGAAGTGACAACTGATACCACACTAATATAAAGGATTATAAGGAAATAATACAAACAATTTTATATGCCAACAAATTGGAGAACCTGGAAGAAATGGATAACTTGCTAGAAACACACAATCTTCCAAGATTGAGTCAAGAAGCAGAAAATCTGAATAGACAGAACTACTAATGCAATGTAGTGAGTAATAAAAAAAAACTCCCAACAAACAAAAGTTCTGGACTGGATAGCTTCACAGATGAATTTTACCAAACATTCAAAGAAGAATTAACACCTATTCTTCTCAAACTATTCCAAAAAAAAATCAGAGAAGGGAAAGCTCTCAAGCTCATTTTACAAATCCAGCATTATCCCGATTTGAACATCAAATGAAAACATTGCAAAAAAAAATTATACGCCAATATGCAGAAATCCTCAACAAAATATTAGCAAATTGAATTCAGCAATACATTAAAGAGATCATACATTATGATCAATTGGGATTGCCTCCTGGGATGCAAATTTGGTTCAATATCCTCAAATCGACTAGTGTGATACATCACATGCAGAAAAAGCATTTGACAAAATCCAACATCCAGTTATAACAAAAATTCTCAGCAAAGAGGGAACATACCTCAACATAATAAAGGCCATGAATGACAAGCCCACAGCTAATAGCATACTCAGTGGTGAAAAGCAAAAAGCATTTTACTTTAGATCGGGAACAAAACAAGGATGTCCACTTTAACCACTTCTATTCTACATAGATTGGAAGTCTTAGCAACAGTAATCAGACAAAAAAGAGGCAAAAGTCATCCAAATTAGAAAGGAAGAAGTAAAACTGTCATTATTTGCATATAACATGATACTATATAGAGAGAACTAAAGAGTATGCCAAAAAACATTTAGAACCGATAAATGAATTCAGCAAAGTAGCAGGATACAAAGTTTATATTCAGGAATAGTTGCATTTTTATACACCAATAATAAACTACGAGAAAGACAAATTCAGAAAACAATCCCATTTACAATTGCATAAAAAACAAAACAAAACAAAAACAAACAAATAAAAAACACTTAGGAATAAATTTAATTGGGAAGTTATAAGACATTGAAGAAAGCAATTGAAGAAGATAAAAATAAATGGAAGCATGTACCATGCTCTTGAATAGGAAGAATTAACATTGTTAAAATGTCCATACTACCCAAAGTGATCTATAGATTAAATGTATCTCTATCAAAATACCAATGGCATTTTTCACAGAACTAGAACAACTACTCCTAAAATTTATATGGAACCATAAGAGACCCCAAATAGCCACAGCAATCTTGAGAAAAATGAACAAAGTTGGAGGTATCATGATACCTGATATCAAACTATACTACAAGGCTATAGTAATCAAAACAGCATGGTACTGACATAAAAAAACCAGACACATAGATCAATGGAACAAACTAGAGAGCCCAGAAATAAACCTATGCCTATATGGTCAATTAATCTATGACAAAGAAGGCAAGAATATACAATGGGATAAAGACGAATCTTTTCAATGAATGGTGCAAGGAAAACTGGAGAGTTATATGCAAAAAAAAAAGAAACTAGACCACTTTCTTACACCATATACAAGAATAAACTCAAAATGGATTAAAGACTTAAATGTAAGGCCTGAAAACATAGAACTTCTAGAAGAACCCATGGGAGACAACCAAGATGGCGCAGTAGGTAAACGCTGTGCTTACCTTCTGTGTAGAACACATAAAATATACTATAAATAAGATTGTTTTGGGACTTAGGTTTGCAAAACAAGTTGTTTACTAGTAGGGATAAAAGCTAGTCTGCACATGTGTGTGAGACTGATAAGAGTAAAGTGAAAGTAAACACGTTTATGTGTGGAGGTTCCTCAAAAAATTAAAAATAGAACAACTATATGACACAGCAATTCCACTTCTGGGTATTTATCTTAAGAAATTCATAACTTGAAAAGATATATGTATCCGTATGTTCACTGTAGTATTATTTACAATAGCCAAGATGTGGAAATAACTTAATTGTCAATCAATATACAATTGGATAAAAAATGTGATATATATGTATACATATATACATATATATAGATATATATATCTATATATATACATATATGGTGTGACAATTAAGTTCGCGAACTTGTTGTAATGATGTTGCTAACCTTTTTTTTAATATATATCAGAGGGATTATTCATTATGAATTTGTACCAACTAGACAAACAATTAACCAAGTTTACTATTTGAAAGTGCTGAAAAGGCGTTGTGAAAAAGTTAGACAAAAATGACCTGAACTTTTTGCCAACAATTCATGGCTCTTGCATCACGACAATCCACCAGCTCACACGGCACTGTCTGTGAGGGAGTTTTTAGCTAGTAAACAAATAACTGTATTGGAACATCCTTCCTACTCACCTGATCTGGCCCCCAGTGACTTCTTTCTTTACCTGAAGATAAAGGAAATATTGAAAGAAAGACATTTTGTTGACCTTCAGGACATCAAGGGTAATATGACGACAGCTCTGAGGGCCGTTCCAGAAAAAGAGTTCCAAAATTGCTTTGAAGGGTGGACTAGGTGCTGGCATCAGTGCATAGCTTCCAAAGGGAGTACTTTAAAGGTGACTGTAGTGATATTCAGCAATGAGGTATGCAGCACTTTTTCTAGGATGAGTTCGCAAACTTAACTGTCTGACCTCGTACACAATGTAATATTACTTGTCAATATAAAAGAATGAAATGTTGCCATTTGCAACATGGGTGGACCTAGAGAGTATTATGCTAAGTGAAAATAAGTCAGACAGAGAATGACAAATACCATACGATTTCACTTATATGGGGAATCTAAAAAACAAAATAAATGAACAAATAAACAGAAACAGACCCATAGTTACAGAGAACAAAGTGATAGTTGCTAGATTCATGGGGCTTAGGAATCTGGGTAAAAAAAGGTAAAGAGGTAAGAAATACAAATTGGTAATTACAAAATAGTCACAGGGATGTAAATACAGCATAGAGAATACAGTCAATAATATTATAATAACTATGTATGATGTTGGGGGGTACCAGACTTAATGGGGGATCACATCTTAAGTTACATAAATGTCTAATCACTATTCTGTATACCTGAAACTAATATAATATTGAATGTCAACTCTAATTGAAAAATAAAAATAAATAATGAAAAATTTAGTTTATAAATTAGGCACAATAAGAATTTAACAAAAGCTAATAACTAATACAACAATTATAACAATATATTCTAATAAAAATTATGTGAATGTGCTCTCTCTTTCTCAAAATATCTGATAATGAAGACGGCTACTAAGTGACTGGTGGGCAGGTGGTATGTGAGATTTCATCACGCTAATCAGAAAGGTGCTCAATTATAAAACTTATGAATTGTGTATTTCTGGAATTTTCCATTTAATATTTTTGGATCATGGTTGACTTCAGGTAACTGAAACTACAGAAAGCAAAACCATGGATAAGGGGAAACTACAATATAAGAAAAAACATAGTATATATAGGGTTCAGTACTATCTGAAGTTTCAGGTATCCACTGTGGGTCTTTCAGCACTTGACATAATTTTAGGTGGTGAACCACAAAGCTAATTTATTTCAACCTTCCCATTTACTGCAAGAATATAGTTCACATATCTTTAACTCCTTCGTGACATTTGCTAATCAATCTCTAGTAAGAGGGAGCCTCAGGTCTTGAGGAATCCAATTCTAGGCCAGAATCTTATGTGCGATCTCTGACTCAACCATAGGCAATTACAAGACGGCCTGTTAGGCCTGTGGGGAAAGGCCTCCCTGCACCAGACCTGGCACACAGGCAGTGCACTGTAGTTCTCTTGAGGGAGCTGCAGTTACAGGACTCTGCCCACTCCTCATGCTCATATGCATATCTGCATTCCTGTTCCAGGCACCTCCATGTGGAGGCCTGCTGGGAAGTGTTACATTTCCAGTTGTCACTTAATCCCTTTTCATTCCTCCTCCCCTGGCCAAGGGGCCCATAAAGATGCAAGAACCTTAAGATGATTCCTGCCTCTGTGCTGCATCCACTCAACCTCTGCCCAGCACTCTTTGGTAGGTAAAAATGGAACACCAAACATGGGGAAGCTGGTGCCTCTTTTCCCCTCCTGCCTGTACTGTTGCAGTACATGAATAAAGACTCGACTGTTACTTTTAGTTTGACTCCTTGTCCTCATTGACCACCTGTCCAGCTGACTGTTCAACAGGGTGGAGGTGGCAAGCAGGCAACACACTTAGCTTGAAATGAATAATATTATTTTATTCTGATTCTATGTTCTTTACCCTAACCCATTTTCCTCTATGATGGCAAATGGCACAGAGTTTCTCTTTCTGATACAGAATTTCCTCCTTAAGTTAATTTATTTAAGAGAAAAAAAAGTGAGTGACTTACTTGGAAATATTAAGTAAGGAGTGAATAAAGTATAGCATTAGGGGGTAAATGCATATACTGAAATAGAGAGACTGAGTTTGGGGAAAACTGGTATAACTCAGTACTCTGGGGGATTATTTGGCCTTCAGTGGGAATGGTGACCAAAGCATCCACAATGCTTCATGCTGAAAAATGTGTCTGCTGAGTTGTGTTAATAACACACTTACATCCCGTATTGCTTCATAGAGGGCTTTGAAAGTTGGCTGCTTGTCATCATGGAAGACGCCACGGTTCCCATGCAGAACAGACACCCCTTCAAGCTCAGCCTCTCTGCAGTTGCTTCCATACATGCAGTGGTCAGGACGGTAGTTCCACTGGCAGGGGAACACATAGAGACACTCTGGTTGTGACAAGAGAAAGACATGTGTCCACGGTCAGTGCCAGTTCTTTTCTGCATGACTAGTGACTAAACCAGTTTCCATAAACAGCACACAACACATGATTGAAATGCACATGAATGTGATTATGACTCATAGTCCAAATTTCACCACACGTTAATATTCTGAGATCAGGAATTGAAGGGGCACACATTAGTGATGTTGTAGGTTTCACCTTCCAAAAGGAGGGCAGTATAACATCATGGATAAAAAAGTAAATAAGGGCATTTGACAGCCAGGGTCTAAATCCCAACTCTCTCACTCAAATACAGTGAAACCTAGGTCCAGTGACTTAATTTCCCTGTGCTTCAGTTTCCTTATCTGTCATATGGGAATAACAGAAACTCCCTCTTATTTTGACAATTAAACTTAAAAAAACACATGTAAAATGCTTAACAGAGTGCTGAGCACACAGTGATTGGCAATTGAGTTAGCAGCTGAAATTGACACTTTGGAAAGTTTTTGTGAAATAGACAGACCAGAAAAATAGGAGTCAAGATTGAAGCAAAGATTCCTTTTAGAATTAAACACCTACCAACAAACAAAAACAAAATAAAGGAAAAATGAACAGAAAACTACAACAGCAAAGGAAAAAAAATCCAAAGAAAAAAGCAAAGCCAAAAAAAGTCCTGGTGTCAAGGTGAGTACACACACTGTGGGTGAGCATGTGCACACGCATACTTTTGTGTTTGTATCTGTAATCCAGTGGTTCTTAGTGAGGGGCGATATTACCCCCCTACCCTGGGGCCATTTGGCAATGTTTGGAGGGAGACATTGGTTGTTATACATGAAAGGGGCTGCTACTAACATCTAGTGCATCGGTGCTCAACCTGTGGGTTGCGACCCCTTTGGGGGTTGAACGACACTTTCACAGGGGTCGCCTAAGACCATCGGAAAACACATATTTTCGATGTTCTTAGGAACCGAGACACCGCTCCTCTATCTATCTCCAGGCGGGTCCGCCCACATGCAGATACGCCCACATACGAGTACCCGGCGTGATGACATCATCGCGCCAACCCCATCACATACACCCCGTACAAATACAGGTGTATGTGACATGGTTGGTGCCATAATGTACTTATGCAGACCAGTCACACATGTGTAGAGAGCAGCTACTGTGTAGAAAGCAGTTGCTGTGTTGAAAGCAGCAGTGTTGGAGGTAAAATGACACTTCATGAATTATAATTACTGGGTAAATGTAAAATCATCAACTACTGCAAAAAAATATCTGTATACCATGGGAACTTAATCTGGATGCTGATCAGTCCTTTTATATTCAGCTGTGGTTGATGTGAATACTGCCCCCTTGTGATAGTAACAGGTATGTAAAAAAACCCAACAGAATGGTAAATCATAGGAAACTAATGAACTGTATTGACTGAACTATGCCATGTATCATCTTTTGTATTATTAAAGCTATTGTTATATATTATTTTCATTAGCAAACCATCCCATGACAATGGATCGTGTAGAGAAGAACATTAAGAAAAGAAAATATAGTGAGGATTTTTTTACAGTATGGTTTTACCTCAATAATTACAGCAGGAATTGAGAAACCACAATGTGTTATTTGTTGTGAAGTTCTATCAGCCGAATCTATGAAGCTGAACTAAAACGCCATTTTCATAGCAAGCATCCGAGCTTTGCCGGCAAGGATATCAACTATTTTAGAAACAAAGCTGATGGACTTAAGAAAGCCAGACTTGACACTGGTGGCAAGTACCACAAACAAAATGTAGCAGCCGTTGAAGCTTCATATTTGGTGGCACTCAGAATCGCCAGAGCTATGAAACCTCACACCATTGCTGAGGATTTGCTGTTGTCAGCGGCCAAAGACATTGTTCGAGTTATGATCGGAGACGAATTTGTTATGAAATTGAGTGTAATGTCCTTATCTAACGACACTGTCCGCAGAAGAATAGATGACATGTCTGCTGATATTCTTGGTCAGGTAATCCAGGAAATTAAATCTTCTCCACTTCCAATATTTAGTATCCAGCTTGATGAATCTACAGACGTTGCAAACTGTTCACAGTTACTGGTTTACATGAGGTATATTAATGATGGGGACTTTAAAGATGAGTTTCTTTTTTGCAAACCTCTTGAAATGACAACTACTGCACGTGATGTATTTGACACAGTTGGTTCATTTCTGAAAGAGCATAAAATCTCTTGGGAAAAGGTTTGTGGTGTTTGCACAGATGGTGCTCCAGCTATGCTAGGATGTTGATCTGGATTTCAACGTTTGGTACTGAATGAGTCACCAAAAGTCATTGGAACTCATTGTATGATTTATTGGCAAATATTAGCAACGAAGACGCTGCCACAAGAATTACAAGGAGTAATGAAAAGCGTCATAAGTTGTGTCAATTTTGTAAAGGCGAGCACTTTAAACAGTCGACTGGTTTCGCAACTGTGCAACGAGTTGGATGCGCTGAACAATGCTCTGCTATTTCACACTGAAGTGAGATGGTTGTTGAGAGGAAAAGTTTTAAAACGTGTTTTTTAGCTTCGTGATGAACTCAAAACGTTTTTTAATCAGAAAGCAAGACCGCTGTTCAAAGCACTTTTCGGCGATAAAAGTGAACTGCAGAAAATAGCTTACTTGGTTGACATCTTTGCCCTCTTGAATGAATTAAATTTATCACTGCAAGGACCAAATGCAACATGCCTCGATTTGTCTGAAAAGATCCGATCATTCCAAATGAAACTTCGGCTTTGGCAGAAAAAATTAGATGCAAATAAAATTTACATGTTGCCTACCCTATCTGCTTTCTTTGAGGAACATGACATTGAACCAGACAAAAGGATTATGATGATAATTTCTGTGAAAGAACACTTGCACATGCTTGCAGAAGAAATTTCATCGCACTTTCCAAATCTACCTGACACCCCATTTGCACTTGTCAGAAGTCCATTCTCAGTCAAAGTTAAAGATGTTTCTGAGACAGCATAAGAGGAGTTCATTGAACTTATTAACAACGATGCAGCGAGAACTGATTTCTCTACAATGCCAGTTACAAAATTCTGGATCAAATGTTTGCAGTCATATCCTGTTCTGTCTGAGACTGTGTTGCGCCTTCTTCTTCCATTTCCAACAACATATCTTTGTGAAACAGGGTTTTCCAGCTTGTTGGTTATCGAGTCTGAATACAGAAGTAGACTTGTTGTGGAAGATGATCTTCGTTGTGCTCTTGCAAAGACTGCCCTGAGAATTTCTGATCTGGTGAGAAAAGCAATCTCAACCTTTGCACTGACTTTGGCCTTTTACACATACTGTCACAAAATGTAGCAGTGTAGTTTACTGTTGTTATATTAAGACTGTTACCCATGCTACACCATGTTTCAAGACAAAGTTTCATTTATTTGTAATTAGAAATAAATATTTCACGATATATAATTACATATTGTTTTTGTGATTAATCAATATGCTTTAATTATGTTCAATTTGTAGCAATGAAAATACATCCTGCATATCAGATATTTACATTATGATTCATAACAGTAGCAAAATGACAGTTATAGAGTAGCAACGAAAATAATTTTATGGTTGGGGTCACCACAACATGAGGAACTGTATTAAGGGGTCGCAGTATTAGGAAGGTTGAGACCCACTGATCTAGTGGATAGAGAACAGGGATGCTCCAAACATCCCACAGTGAACAGGACAGGCCCCAGAACAGCAGTAATACCAAGGTTAAGAAACTCTGCTGTAATCCTGTTTCCTCTTGGTGACTAGGATTATACAATTGGCAATAAATTCATGACACCCTAGCTTCCTGGCTCCTCAGCTTGATGCCTTTAAGGGCAGGGCTAGAGGACTATGGATCAAAGCTCTCTGAATGTATGTCCCAGACCATGAGAAAGGCCCATGTCAGAGAATAGAAGAATTAGAGCAAATCAATTACCATTGGCAGAAAAGCAATTTAAAGATGTGCTTGTTGGTTGGGTTGACAGCACTCCTTTCTTACAGAAGGAACCACTGCTTACAGGGTACTTACAGAAAGCTTCAAGGTGGAAAGCAAAGAGTGAAGAGACACCCTTTCTGGCAGACTGTGTATCTTATGTCCTTACAGTGACATCCAGGCACCCTGCATCAAATTCCTGTTTACAACACAGAAATTTTTTTTTCACTGGAGACCTCCATCCCATCATTATGTTCCTCTGACTTGCATTCACCTCCACACTTGCCATAGATTGGAAAGAGCAGTGCTCATCTTGAATTCACATTATCTAGATTTGAATCCCATCTCCTCTATTAGCTGTGTGTCTCTTCTGCAGTTTCATGCAGAGGATGGGGGTGAAGATTATATGAGTGATAATATCTAAAATAGCTTTTGTGCTTTAGTACTGTGCTTTATCCTATCCCAATTGCTTCCTTTTGTAACCCAATGTGACAGATCACTCATTTAGGATAGCTGCCTGGGCATTTGGATTTGCAGTCCCTGTTTAAGCACATGCTAATGCTCCCTGCTGAATGAATTGCACTAAAACCCATCTCTGTTTTTGTAAACACACTGATAGATTGAATCAACAAATATTTATTGAATCTCTGCTATGTGTACAGTTCCTACTTTCATGGAGTTTAAGATTGGTGATGAAAATGTCTGCCTTTTCCCAGGTAGTGTAGGACCCCACTACAAAATGAAGCCTTTTCTCTCTTTGCAGCCTCTTTGATGGAATGAGCCCAATGATGACATTCGAAAGCAGAAGATAAAATAGAAAGGTTTTGAAATCAGACAGATATGGATTCAAAGTTGGCTTCTACAACCTCCCAACTCTAACCTCAGTGAGTTACTAAAGCCCTGATCACAATCTAGAAGCAGTAAAGAGAAGCTAAATTATCCTGGTTTGAATCCCAGCTTTACTGTATATTAGCTGTGACCAAATAGCAGAGTGGCTAATAGAAAAAGCTCTGGCATTAACCCACTGGGTTTGAATACGAAATTCTATCACTGTT